GGGAGATATTCCACGCGATCGAATGCAAATCGAATGTATCTCGGTCGTGACAGTTTTCTCTCGCGAACTTAACGCACCGATCGCGGTTGGTTTATCTTTCCGCGCGGGATTATCGCATGTTACTCGCTCGTTTGCCAGCGGTCGTCGCGGGAATTATATTAATGGGGATCCGCTGCAGCAGCTTCGCCCGTGGAATTTTGCGAAATAAGTGGAACGTGATTTCCATGTGGTCGGAAAGTAATTGCAAGTAATTGCATCAGCTTAGAGAAACAGGAATTAATAGTTTCGCTAGGTGGTCTGTTAGAATATCAGCTCGGGTTTAAGAGAAAATCATCGTATTCCGCATAATGGAAGCGTCGATCGAAAAGGAAATTGAGATCTACGAAATTAGGCCATCGCGGCTGCTTATCAACCTAAGCGCTGCTGAACTCCGAAAAATTACTTAAAACGGTTATTCCTGTTTATCCGTTTCACGTATTCGCTGGAGCAAAGCTCCACTCGTAATGCTCGCGTAAATTCAAATTCTATAAGGTTCATCGAAGTTTTCGAAGAGAAATTTCGGAGAGCAATGTATATTGCATCACTTTCCTCTACCTTTGTAGGCCTCGATTATATTCAAATTTCGATAATTCCACTCTAAAGTAAAATATTCCACAACGTGTATTCAATTTTTCGTTCAAATGGCAATTAAACAATGCACTTGTCTCGACTTTTTGCTTCGTGGAGTCAACCGACTTCGCCAATGAGTATCTCAGATATGTAACAAAGATGTTATATGCGGTAGCCTCGATTATATTTAAATTTCCATCGGGAATTCCACTCTGAAGTAAAATATTCTACGATGTTTACCGAATGGTTCGTTTAAATGGCAATTTTATATCGACGCATCACTTGTCCCGACTGTTTGTTTCGCGGAGTCAACCGACTTCGCCAATGAGCATCTCAGATATGTGACAATGGTGTTAACATACGCGGTAGGCCTCGATTATATTCAAATTTCCATCGGGTAGCCCACTCTCCATCGAGTCTCGATGCCGTGCGCGTAATCGCGCCACGCGTCCCACGCGCACCGCGCCGGCTCTAACCCAGAAACTGCAACCGTGACGGATTCCTCCGTCTCCGTTTTCGCCTATTAACGTGTCGCGTAAAACGATGACACATTGCGCGAGCGTCCCCGTCGCTCGTTCGACGGGACGGTACGCGACCCACGGTCACGAAAAACTCATTTTCCCTCGTCGCCCGGCGAGATACCGCCCGTATACGAGCGGCGATTACGTGCGGCGCACGATCGAACCGAAACGGTGCCTCGAAACGTGCCCGTGAAACCGGTCGTCGTCGCTTCGGGAAAACCGATCACGCCACCTCGCGATACGCGAAATCGTTCTTCCTCGAATCTCAGCCGTTGGATCTCGATCGTCGACACGCGTTGCGTCGTGTCGCTCATCTCTGAGAGACTCTGCTCCTCTTAGACACACCGTGTACGCAACATACGAGCAAGTTCGCGGGTCAAAGTGAGTTACTTTATAAACGTTTAAATTTCAGCATTGGAACTTTAGATTGATGCTCTGTGCACAATCTAGAAAATTTGACCGAAACGCTCGATTCGCGTTCCATTCGCGAATACTCATCAAACCTTACCATCGGAACACCTGACAGCTCTCCTATTCACAAATTCCCATCGAATTCCAGCTTGAGAACGCTCTGCCGATCCTCTACCTCGAAATTCCCAAGGAATTCCCTACTTTCGCAGGGTCAATCAACTCGGCAACCGAATGACCAACTTTCAATTTCCCTCTCGCCGTAGACCGGCGGCGATTCCGAAATATCCCAGCGGACAACGCAGGAAAC